GGCGACGATTACATGCGGCTTAAGAAGGCTCGATATCAGATAACAATGGGAAAAGCGTTACGTAGGTAACAACATCGATCAACATCCCGAATGTTTACATTTTTGTAAAGGCATTTGAGAAAGGCTGTGAGAAATACTGAGAATATCCTTAGGAAATACTGAACTAGAGTTCAGTATAAGTTGATCGAAAAAGGAATCAGACTTGCCTTAGTGATCGTTGCTTTGGTTTCTACTCCATTTATAACGAACCACAATACACTGCTCTTTCCAGAGCTCTACAGATTCTGAAACATCCGTGTGTCGTATCACAATATTATTAACGATTCTGTACTGAAAATAACTTAGATTAACTAAGTAACTTTTTTTGGAGTCTTTGTTTCCAAGCTTGTTGAGACCACACATAAAATTTCCACGTGCAGCTCAAAAACGTCTAACAAACTTATCAAAATAACCGCGACGTGGCTTGTTTCAGGTTTTTTTTCACTACTGTACATGCGGACAGTCACTCAGATATCTCCTAGTTTATATCATTCATCACGTTGCGAACCAAATCCACCACTTTTTCAATCGAATTCACCACACTTTTCAGACCGGGCCGTACATAAACCAGATTGCATTAGACACCACCCGAAAGCCCCGCCCCGATGGCCACTGCTACTTTTCAGCACGGTCATAAATTCTGAAATTTTATTTTATAACTTCTCCTTCTATGAATTTTTGCCTTTTGTAGTTTCACACATACACTTTAACGGAAAAGGACTGAACGACGTCGACATGTGACCGACTCTCCCAGCTTTTCAATGATTTGTTGCAAATTCCGAATCTTCATTAGTTATTTCAAAATCGCTCTTTTCACACCCACTATACATACAAAGAATATACTCATTGATACGCTTTTGTACACTGACTTACTGAGTCCCTTCCCTTTAACCACTCCCGCTTTTGCGCCTTTTGCAAAATCAATTCCTTCCTTGGAATTTTTACACTTTTGGACTGCCACGGATAGCCCCGCCCACCACGAAAAACTCAACAGTTTTGTAGGCACCCCACCCACTTTTGAAAAATGATGCAAACCGATAAACGGGAGCCTCATCTGGCACTTTCGCGTCTCGCTCCCCACTTTGAACAAACTTTGCCCGCTTTCAGTCCCGAGAAGGCGAGGGAGGCCCTAAAGTGCTAGCTAAAGTGCTACCTCCGTCCATTCCTAAAATTTATGCAAATCGGCAGGCTAGGGAGACCCTAGCCTGCCGATTAGCATAATTTTAGGAATGGACAGACTTTTGGTGATGGGCGGGGCTATCCGTAGCAGTACAAAAGTGTGAAAATTCTGAGGAAGGATTTGATTTTGCAAAAGGCGCAAAAGTGGGAGTGGTTAAGGGTAGAGGCTCAGAGTGTCAGGTCACAAATGCGCGTCTAAGAGTACCTTCATTGTATGAAAAGTGGATGTGAAAACAACGATTTTGAAAAAAGTAATGAGAATTGAGATTCGCAACAAATTTTTTGAAAAACGGGCAGAGTGTATCGCGTGTCGATGAACAGCCCTTTTCAGCCAATGTATATGCGCGATGCACCAAAAAGCAATGAAGTCATAAAAGAAGTTATAAAATAAGATTAAAAAATTCATGACCGCGCTGGAAAGTAGGCGTGGCCGTCAGGACAGAACGGCAACGGGAGCCTTCCCGTTGGGGTATCTAACGCGATCTGATTGATAAACTGCCCGGTACAAGTGGTAAATTTGATTTGGAGAGTGGTGGATTTTTTCTAAAAAGCGTTGATGTTAAAATGAGGATTTTGGTTGAAAAATGAAAAAGTTGTGAATTTAGAAAGAAATGGTGCAGATAAAGAGGTACTGCGATATTACAGGCTATAAGCCATCGCAGGCTGTAAGCTATGGACCCTCTGCGGCAGACGCCGCAGAGGGTCCATAGCTAAGTCAAGAAGGCCCTAAAATACCAGTTCAGATTAATGGAAACACAGTAAGTTGGATTTGGGGAATTTGTAACGTTCTTTCAGGTATACAAAAAGCGCTGGAAATATCTCTACCCTCTTCATTCATTTACGTATTCACGGATGCTCGATCGAAGGACTATGAACTTGAAGATGCTGTCTTGAGTATGATCCAGGAAAAGCAGAGCTCCGTAAGATACTAATTTCTAGGATTGTGCTGCGAAAAATGCTGCGAAGAGCAAGTGCTCAAGAGGATATCATAGGTGAAGCAGTTTTCGTCTTAACACGTTCGCGGCGGCGTGTACTCCCGGGAGTAGCATATTCGCTGGTTTTTTGTATTTTCTTTTGTTTTTCCACTAACAATTGGATATAAATAATAATCAAACAATAGAGAAATAATATCCACACATTAGAAGAGGCGTGTATACCTGAAAAAATACTCAAAAACTTTCCTCTTTAAGCGAATCGTGCATTCTTGGGGGGACACGCGCCTCTTCTCTCGTTTTTTGATGTTTTTTTTTGTTCTTTTCACTGGCAGTTATGAACAAATCATAAAATAAATAATATACAAGTAATACTAAAAACATTTCTCGTGTGTTTTATTTCTTGAACGCGCAGGTTAGGCGGTAGTGCTTTTGTACAAGGTACTAAGATTTTTCACAAGAATCAAAGTCTACAATCTTCTTTTGCGGTACCAGTGAACATCAAAAAGGGCAAGAAAGCTAGTTCATTTATCCGAAACTTAGTTGAAACTTGTAGAAGGTAAAAATGTGAAAAAGAGCGGCGAAAAACGGCTTTCGTGAATTTTTGGGCGTTTATGATTCCGCCGCGAGCGCGTAACTATGAACGGGATGATTGCCTAATTGTCGCCCGCCGCGAACGCGTCGCTCGACCCATGGGAGTTTTTGCCGAAACGGCGCCGCCGCGAACGTGTTAACATACGAGAGGCAGCCGCTCTCTTTCACATTAGGAGGCAAAGCTCGCGATCAGCCGTTATCACAAATAGTGGATTAATGGTTTGCATATAGAAGACAAGATTCT